CGCTAAACTAGTTCTCTGCCGAAAACATCATTTGTCCACCTATTGGGAATATGCTCCACGATGTGCATTAAATATAGAAACAATAGACATTTACGGAGGAATAACAATGCGTTATCCACAGAACTCACCATCGAACAAGTAAAACCCACCCCTCGTCACCAATAGCTCGCTGAAAACGCCCACGGTCCCATCGGCGACCCTCCCAGGGCGAGGCTCGGGACAGAGTGGCCAGCCCTTTCCTCTACGGGAAGGCCACCAAGTTTCATGAGCTCCCCTCAGTACCTTTTCATTTTATTTTTGTCCTCATCTCTGCGCCTCCGTCTGCTTCCTCAACGCTTCTTCCTTGACGCCAGCTTTTGTTCCTGCCTAAGGTTATCTATGTGGGCAAACCTGTTTTTCTCGTGAGCTTAATTCTTGTCGGAAAGAGCCTGCTTCTGAGTTGCCTGAGGACGTGATAACGTGCAAACTCAAGGATTTCTTCATCAGCCTGCATTCTTGTTTAGCTCCTGCAATGTGTCACTGGAGACTCACTGTGTCACATGATCATTTTATGATGCTGTCGGTCAGTGGTGTTGATAATTGATATGCCTCACAATGAGCAGGTCCGAGTATGATTTGAAGAGACCACTTGTGAAGAAGATGTTAAAACTATGATTGGAATTAAGGCATCCATAGATATACAAGTGAGGGCGTGGGAGATTCACCCTGGTTTCCGTCGTCAAGAGTATGAAAGAGGTTGACGACGAACAATTTTGTTCCTGCACCTACTGCTAGTACAATATGGTTAACCGTCTCATTTGCATTTCGGCCTTGCGGGGAATCAAACTAAAGAAAGAAGGTTGTGAATACAACGAAGAAAATTTTGTGCACCCTCTTAATCAAGGCTCCTCATCTGTTATCTCTCTGTACATAATTCAAATGGAATGATTTAAAGTGCGCATTCTACGTGAATACATACAGTGTGGAATTTGTGCACATCAAACAATGGAATTGTCAAACTGCTAAGCCTGCAGGTTAGCAGCAATGGAGATCCTCAACGAGAGGATGTGACATGAGAACCATAGATCCAACTTCATAGTCAAATTCAAATGTGCATATGGGCTTGTCGTTCCAAAAGCGAGGTTGACTCCCAAGCTAATAAGCACAGCTCTAATACGAGGCGAGGTTGCAGATTCTCACACCTCAGGAGTCTCTACATTGTCCACTTGCAGTCATTACAGGTAAGGAAGAGATGAGACGGATACTCTACGAGACCACTAAAATCTGACGAAATATGGGCACCAGAACGTTCAATGAACCACGTGGTTCACAAATCATTACATTTTGAAAACCATCGTATTACGAGTACCTTTAAGAACGAGCTTAATCTACACAATAAATCAACACAGCATGGCAGAAGCCTAGTAGAACCGGTTGTCGATTGAGCAGGACTGAGATAACTCTGAAACTCTGTAGACTGTTTTCATGCACAGCTAACGGACGCGCCACAGTGGCATCATTCTAATAGAGTACCTTGTATCTAAGATTCTAATAATAAGAATGCTTTTCTTACTCACATCTCAATCCTGAGCTTCTCAAAAGCAATTGGCTTTGGTAAAGATGTCTGCAATTTGGTCATGAGTAGATATGTAGAAGAGATCAACTATTCCAGTAAGTGTGTATAATGTAGCCACATGCCATACGTTTGGACTTGTCATAACATATTGGGTTTTTGGCAGATTTGAGTGTACTTTGAAAATAGAGATGGATTTGCAATCTGTTCCATGGAGTCTAGATGATAAAGTTTGAAGCCAAATGGCTTCACAAATTCCCTTTGCTAGGGCTCTTGTCTCATCGTCTGTAGATGATATTGCTATGTTGTTTTGATTCTTAGATGCCGACGAAATTGGCCTCCCTGCTGCTTTGAATACCCAACCTGTGATTGATCTCCTGTCAATTTTACAGTTTGCCCAGTTTGAGTCAGTGAACCCCAAGATTGCTGTGCTGTGCCATCGTTCATAGAAGTTCCTAAGTACAATTGTACCTTTTGTGTATTGAAGTACGTGATTCGCCGCTTGACGATGTGGAACTCGTGGGTCATGCATAAATCTACTAAGTACTACCGTGGCAAAAGGGATTTCTAGTCTTGTATTCACCAAATAAATTAAGATTCCAACAAGTTTCTGAAAGAGTTTAGCATCCACTTCTGATGAGACTTGCTCCCGGTTAAGGTTGAATCCTTCCGTCATAGGTGTGGAGGATGGAGTGCAGCCCTCCATACTGAATTCTTTCAGTATTTGACTTGTGTATGCTTTTTGTAAAAGCAGAATTCTAGCGGGGGTGCAGATGGATTCTACACCTAGGTAGAAGTTGATATGTCCAAGGTTAGACATCTTGAAGCGTCTCATGGGTTGCTCCTTTATCCAGGTGATTCCACTGGTGTTTGATCCCGTGATCAGTAGATCATCCACGTACAATATTAAGATTGTGATTTCGTTGCTGTCTAGAATGAAGTACAGACTATAGTCAGCTTCGGTTCTGCTGAAATTATGGATGTCTAGAAAGTGGTTGATTTTCTCAAACCATGCACATCCTGCTTTAGACCATACTTGCCCAATTTGTCGGCAAAATTGGGCAAAATACTATTCTGTCCCAAGGTGTTCAGAAAATTCTATGAGCTGAAGTCGGTTTTTCAGGTCGTATTTGTGGCTGTCGCCAGCGTTCTCAAACAACTTCATGAAAAATTTCCATAGCTGCTTGGGTTTGTGATAGTCAGTCAACACTGCAAGCAGGCTCAATTTAATTGATAGAGTAAGTATGAACATTAAGTGTTCGGCCCGGTCCTCCGAATCCTCGCTGTCTGACTCCCTTGAGTCTTTCTTGTTCCTTGAGGAGGTACTGTGAGGAGGTGGAGAGAGTAGATTCCATAACTTTTCCCGCATGACTATTTGGGTTATAACGTACTTCCACAAATGAAAATTAGAGGACCCATTGAGCTTAACCTCATCAAGAACAAGGACTTTTGACATAGTTAGTTTTGCAGTGTAAGGGAAATGTTGTGTGTAGTGTATGAGAAAAGGTGGGGTATGAGTCCAGCCGATGGGAAGGTGAAAGACGTTAAGTAGAATTTTCAAAGAGAATAGTTATAAAAATAGCATAGTTGCATTGTAGTGATATTTCAGAGGCTTAACACCAAAATTCTACAACTTTAATAGATTGCTCTCACCACTAAACTTAGCATCTATTGTTTTTAAAATCTGAAGTTAACAAAATAGTATTTATTTAGGCGAATTTTTGTATTCTATCTATTTCCAATCTATTATCTCAAGGTGAACAATGGGCAAGATGGAGGAGATTGTATGGATTGAGTTCCTCATGCAATAATGTAAAAGATAAAATTTATTGGTGGAGCTTAGTTTGGAAGTTGCCATGCCAAAATTAAAGACAAAAATAATGGTATTAAGCATAAAAAGACAAAGTAGAGTTGAGAAAAACTAATTATTATTGGATATCTTCCTACAATATAAGAGAAAAATTAAGCAAAAACTAAAAGTTCAGTTTATTAGAATCATCTATCTATTGAAACTTTTTTTAAAAAATTTTAAAAAAATCCAAGAAATTGTAAAAATCCAAATTACACACTTTTTTTTTTAATACTAAACTTGTAAAAGCAACAGACATCTTTAGATAATATTTGGTCAAGATGTAAAACATGTTATAATCTACAAGCACTTACAACTCCAAACTTATATTTTTCTGTGATTTAAAATTTTCTAAATTTCCTATAGATTATTTTTCTACGGTTTAGTGTGACTTTAATTCATTAGTACTTGTAGGCACACATTCATACTGGGTATACAATGTGTTTTTTTGTGTATAATGTATTGCATTTTAGGGTTGGAAAAGGGGTTGTTCACTCTGGGGCTGACCGTCCCTGTTGCCAGCTACCCTTGCGACCGGGCACGGCTCGGGTAGTCTAACCGTCGTCTGCCCGCTGCCCGAGATGGAACTGGATGGATGTACATCCAGAGCCAAGCATGAAGTGCGAATGAATGCGATTCTGCCATCTTCATTGAATGGGGTCATGTGTACAGATTCAAACCTTGAGTTCGACGAAATGTTCACACCAGTAAGCGTACGTGTTTCGTGGATTCAAGTGTTAATATTGTAGAGTAAATTGTTGAGACAAACATAGAATTCCGAAGTTTAACCAAAGATTAGGGTTTCAGAAGCATATTAGAGAGTGTAAATAAACTGGGATTCTGGAGATCAGACTAAGTTCTGATACCCAATATGAACGAAGTTTTCACTGAACCATTTAGCTTTGCTAGCTTAGTTGATCAGTACAGTGTTACTCAAGCGTGACATAGACTCGAATTGTCTACACAACAAAACTCTGCATGATTCGCCGTGATAAAGTATGCTACCAGAAAATTGTGTCATTAATCTCTACGTAGGGAGCGTTTGTACTAAGATAAAGAGGTAAATCACATGCGAAGAGTGAGACCGTATGCCATTTGTCAGGTAGTTTATGACAAATGTAGAATAGTCCAGTCCAGTCGGTCTGTCTCAGAACTATTGCTCATTGGTATTATCGCTTGTTTCAGGCGTCTCACTCTGTTTTTCTCCCCTCAAGTAGGCTGTTTCCAGGAGACATTCCGTGTGCTGTTGAGAAAAGAAATAACTTGAAAGTACCTGTAGCTGCATTCTCCAGCGCCAGATGTGAATACAGTGTTGTCTTCTTGGCGATGCATATCAGAAAAATCACATTCGAATACGGGCAGTGGATTTTGCACTTTTACGCAGGATTGATCCGTTCAGCGTTATCACGAGCTTGAAGGACTTCAAACATGAGTTGAACATTATAATCCTCATTGTTTAACTTACACGGAGGCGAAGTCAATACGATGAAATAGATGATAATGCAAACCCTGACTACCAATTGTGTTAATCTCGCTCAGTCTATAAATCTTAACAACGCATGAGTTGATTGCAAGCAAGATTCGAACACAAGGCAAAAATTCAGTGAACGAAACTGCTCAAGCGCTCTCAGATTTAAAGCCTGAAACAGGTTCTGAAGAACGGGGATAGATAGACGTAATGCAAATGCCACTCAAGGATATTACAAAATTCCAGCAAGGACTTAATTTTCACGTCCCTGGGCAATTCGCAACAGTCTGCTTCACTGTATCCTACTAAATTATACAACGCACCGCACAGGCCAGTACCTGTCCAACCCTACATACACACAGTTCTCAAACGCTGCTTTGCTCGTCCCGCAACCAACTCAACACTGTCACAATTGTACACAAACATAGAAAAAGGTTCAATATCATCGACAGGATTTTTTTTCACACCCCCTCGGATAGAGGCTTCGAAACTGAACTCGACAGTGGTCTGCTCATTTGAGATAATCATCTCCTACGAGTGCGGCATAGAGCGGTGTTCGAAGCACTCATTGTTTTACTCCAAAGAAAGAGGGTTGAGGAAAACCCTTCGAGGTAGAACACGAGTCGAACGAACCCTTGCCGAGCACCGAAAGATCCTTAACAGACAAGTTTAAAGACCAATTCCTCCGTAATCCGAAATTCTGAGGTTGCAATCTCCACTTAAAGATTGTTAAAAACACACAAATGGTACACACAGAACAACCGTAGAGTTTCTGAATTATAACTTCGGGAGATACTTACAAAGCTTGTACACAAATCCAGAGAAAAAGAGATGTACAGGTCTTTATGCATTGGCCTTCTGCAAGCTGCTCAAAATTTCTTCAGCACTGCTACTAGTGAACGCGCCTCCTTCCTCCAAGTTCAAAACCTTCACCACGCCGTCATCCACGAGCATGGAATACCGCCGCGACCGAATGCCCAGTCCCTCTACCTTGTCCGTCAAGTCCACAGTTGTTCCTAAAGCCTGAGTAAACTTGGCCAAACCGTCTGACAGCATGAGCACTTTGTCGCCGGCACCGACGCTCTTCGCCCATGCCTGCATCACAAAGGCGTCGTTCACAGAGACGCAAGCCAAGGTGTCCACGCCCGCCTTGCGAAGCTCCTCAGCGTTGGCCACAAACCCGGGCAAATGCTTAGAGGAACAAGTGGGGGTGAAGGCCCCAGGAACAGCAAATAGCACCACCTTCTTCCCCCTGGTGAGCTCTGACACGCTCACGCTCTGCACATTGCCCTCCGTATCGAAATAGGATAGATTGGCCTCTGGAAGTTTATCCCCAACAGAAATCGTGGCCATCACTTGGGTCACCCCTGAGCGGGACAACGACGAGGTTGCAAGTTTCGCGGCGGGTTTCAGCCCTGCGCAGGATGCGAGCCATGAAGTGCTCGAGAGCAGCTGGGTTGTACCCAGGCAAGCCTTCCTAGCAACAACAGCGAGGGATGCGACCGGCACCTTAGAAGTTAAGCTGGAAGCTAACTCCCGCCTCGCGACGACCCCTACAGATGAGACCCTACTTGCAATTGCTGACGCCATTGGAGATGAAATCGAGAGCTAGGGAGAAAGATTTCGAGCTCGAAGGCGATGGGAAGCAGGAGATGTGGGCTTCAGAATGTTGAGCTTGAAGTGGCTGGAGTGGTGGACTGCGGCGAAGGGTGAAGAAGCGGTGAGATGACGAATTCGGAGAAGAAGTAGAAGGAGAGGCTTTTCACTGGATTTGCAAATATCGGCAAGATTGAATCTCTAGCTGACATTTGCGAACTTACAATCGACGACAAATCAGTGGTTGGTGGATCGACCTAGTTCCATCACTAGATCTTTCCCTCTACTCTATCAAATGCTATGAGTAAGCCGGCCATCAATCTCACAGCATCCTAGTTCGAACATCCCGTGAAGTTATTCACTTTGCCATGGGATCCTTTAAGGTTGCATCCGCGTTTTCACACATCTGACACCGCAAGTTACTGCGGAACAGGTAGATTGAATCGGTCTGATTGTGATTTTTATTCCCGGTTGTGGGGTTTATCACATCCCTAAAAAATTCCACCTGGTAGTTTACATGATGTTGCTGTACAGCACTCAGAAAGAAAAATAATTCCTCTTCAATTCTACAATTGCGATGGAATATGCTTAAATTCTTAAGATATGTCCCCTACAGACTTTACTCCTCCCTAAAGAGTAATACAAAAACATAACCTCCAAATCCTGATCATCACCAGGGCTCAGTGCAGGCGGATGCAAGCTGGAAAGCCCTCTGTGTATGTGTGTGTTTCTTTTCTTCTTTTTTCTTTTTTGGAGAAAATGTCGATAATTCAGCTGGGATATGTTGGTGAAAGAACTTACACACTGGAAGACTTCCTTCTATGTTTTTTACTAGAGAAGTTGTAGAAAAGTCCCACTGGCGTGAATTCACAATATCCTAACTATCACAATGCTGAGGATCCAGTCGCTTGCCCTAATTAACTATCATTGAACTGGGATTATGCTCGAAATTACAATAGCTGATGCTATTAGCAAATACGCTTTCAAATCGGAATCACTAAATCACTGAATAATACACTAAATCAGAATCAAGCAAGCCGTTCTCGAGTGCTAGCACACATTGCGATTAACCTGCACTTGACAGATACAAAAGCACATTCTGTGAATTCTTCATTTATCTACATTCATACGGCATTGTTCCACGTCGAGGATAAAAATCTTAGAGGCTGCCATCGAACCATTCATTTCAACCGCTCTTTCCCTTGCTTGTTTCACTTCATAGTATTTTTAGAGTCTGTAGTTCCCCCATCCACCACGAAATTAGCAACGTTGACAGAAATATCGACTTATAATAGATCATGACTAGAATATATTTCATATTTTGTAAGAATACCGATAAATGGCACCGACATGGTAAACCTCCGCTTTAGCAGAGTGTGACGAGATGCTTACAACAAGGATCAGAATCTGCTGACTTCATCCACCTTGAACTACACGAAAGTGACCAGGTGGACAAGTAATTTCTCTTGAACTTCTAACATGCATTTCATTCACGGTTTTAGAGATATTTAAATATGAAGTCAACAATAATCTATCAATAAGTTGGTTGTTAGGTCTTGGTTAAAACTTAGTCATTGCTTGTATTTCTAAGATCAACCTCATTTACATCAAACTACCATAAGTACCTCATCAAATTCAAATAATTCTCTATGCTCAAAATCTGCAATATATTTTGTAATACAATCCTTTTTTCTTTTTCTTTTTTTTTATCTATTTGCAAAAATGGCTTTACATACTTTAATATGAGTTAGGCTTAGGCTTCACATACACTTCAAGTTGTTACACACACTCCAAATTGCTATACTCACACCCAAGAAAATAGAGGTCTTTTATTGGCTAGTTCACTAATTTAACCAACAATTGATAAGGAAGAGGGGGAGAAGGTCTAGGACTTGCGCTAGGACTAGGACCAGTGCCAAAACAAGAAAGGAAGGAAGTCATCTCCAAATCTATTTGTAAGACATAAGCAAAGCAACCAATTAGAGGCTATAGATGTGCACATGGACATAATGGGTGTGCATTCATCAATTAGAGGCATGTGTGTAGCTGGAGCCTTTTGAGTTATCTTTTGACCTTGAGAAGTGTACAACATATCTTTGAGATTGCCCACATTGAGTCCAATTGTTGCAAATTGTAGAATCAACAATTTAACTCACTATTCATAAATCCACCCTTACACAATTGCTGAATTCTGTGTACATTGCCTATTTGGGCACCTCCTGGTCATGCACTCTTTCCTTATTTTAATCTGCATCTAGAACAAGTCCTGCTCCATTGGGTGGATCCTTTCAGCCTATCACATGTATTGGTGTGTTGTGTGGGTATGGTTACAATGATTGTGATGGTTGTGGTGCCAAACTTGAAGACAAACTCATGAGCAGTTTCTTTGAGCTGAGGTTGTAGGAGCATTGCATCAAGAATGAGCCTCAAATCCTGCTAATGAAAATTGCAAAACACCCATTGATTCTAACAAAGTTTATTTTGAGGTTTTGATTGCATGGCTCTTGGAGGAAAATATAAGAGTGTAAGTATCAATTAAGTAATAAATCATGGTGGTTAATGTCGGTTTAACCTTTTCCCATAAGTTCATAACTTACTATTTAGCTCTTTAATACGACCTATATTTTAAAAGACTATTAGAAGACTGTATTATTAAAAATCAAAAATAAAAGGATATTTTTCAAATATAATCATATGCAACTGGGTTCATTTGTATTTTATTTTATCCAATGTTGTGTTCTTTTTATAAGACAAGTAGATATATCTAATATAATTTATTAATATTTTGTTCATAATCCTATCTTATATAAAGTTTTAAATTTTATTATTGTGTTTCGATTATTGATTTTTAATTACCATGAGGATCAATTCATAGAATTTTCATTTTTTTTTTGATAAAATGTATAATTAAAAAATAAAAAAACTGAAATGTCCAATATAAGAAACTATGAAATGAATACTGTATTTGTAGAGCAAAAAACATATAACAATACATGAGGAGGTTTGATTAGATAAAATAAATATAAAATTAAATGAACATTGATCTGAATGAACAAATTTATATATATGTAGTTATTAAAATAATTTATTTTTTTTACGAGAAACCACATTCAATAAAATGTTAAATTTTTTAAACTTGTAAAATTGGTTGTTTGCTACATAAATCTTAAATGTAAAACTAACTGATCAATTTACCAACTAATTATTATACAAAATGAATGAGATATGATTTTTAAAAATAAAGTGAAAATTCAACAATACTAATTGAATTTAAGTTTGCTATATAACTATCATGTGAAGAGTAAATGAAACTTATGAACCCATTTACTTTGTTAAATATGTGTGTATAGTTGATATCAAGTTGTATCAAATTATGAACTAATTTAATGCCAAATCAAGTTCATGTACTTTAGCAGAACAAGTTAGGTGTATCTGAAATGAGAGAAGTACAGTATAATGTAAAATTTTCAATTACCATCATTTTTGCTTTGCTCTGTGTGAGAAACAGAACTGTGGGAGCTTTGATTCAGCTCAAACATCACAAACAATGAAAATTGATATTTGAGATGAGAATGAACTCTTTCATTAGAATTTCAATGAATGTGCTTACTTGGGCATTTAACTTGTGATGATTTGTCTCACAGAAGAGAAATTCAGTTCTCATTTTTCTAATTCACATGTTCTTATCGTACCAGTCAATGATGGTTTCAAATTGCAAACCATTTCAATTCAATGTTTTACAAACTTTTGCTTGGACGTGTCTCATAAAATCATTATCAGCATCATCACTGCAAAATCGAAACAGTTCACAATCACTCAAATCAAATGTTAGAATACCTACTATGATTGGATCTGCAAACAACTCTCAAACAACATCTGATGCATGCATCATATGTATATTTAAATAAACAATCTTGAATGAACTTCAAACTCCAGACCATGAAACAGTGATTTTCATTGATTCTACATGTATAAATATTTGCATATATATATATATATATAAAAGTAAGTAACTGTGCCTGGATGCATAGGAAGTGGAGAGAGAGTGACGCACCGTGGTGTTCTGGTTGGCGCACTCGGGCGCGGTGGCGGCGCTGGTCTTGCGCTTGAGCAAGGCCTTGAGGATGTCGTCGGCGCCGCTGCTGGTGAAGGCGCCGCCCTCCTCCATATGCAGCGTCTTCACCACGCCGTCGTCCACCAGCATCGCATACCGCCGCGACCGCACCCCCAACCCCACGGGTTTGTCGCTCAGGTCCACGCTCGCGCCCATCGCGTGCGTGAACTTCCCCAGCCCGTCCGACAGCAACAACACACTCTCGCCCACGTTCTGATTCTCCCCCCACGCTCGCATCACGAAGGCGTCGTTCACGCTCACGCACGCCAGCAAATCCGCGCCTGCTTTCCGCAGTTTGTCCGCCTTGGCCACGAATCCGGGAAGGTGCTGCGTGGAGCACGTCGGGGTGAAGGCGCCGGGGACTGCGAAGAGGACTACCTTCTTGGCACGCATGAGGTCCGAGACTTTGACGATGTTTACGTTACCCTCCTTGTCGAAATACGAGAGTTCGGCGTCGGGGAGCTTGCTGCCCTCCGCGATGGTGGTCGCCGCTCGGGATCCGAATGTGGGCAGTGTCCTCACTGCAGCGACGCCGCGAATGTGGCTTGGAACGAGCGTTGCCAGAGAGCGGGAGTAAGTGCTCCAGAGGTTTGTCCCTCCCCTGCTAAGAGCAGCGGCGTTTGTGAAGGTTCGTATTGCTATTGCTGTAGCAGCCATGGTGTTGCTGCGAGTGGCCTGGTTGATGTGGAATGCAAATGTTAGCGCATTAAGCCCCCAAATGATCCTGAATGCCAGAAGCGGAGGTGCTCGATTTACAACGAGTTTCAGTTGCACTGCAGCACTTGCACGTGCGTTCGACACAGAGAGGGGGTTGGTTGTGGTTGCTTTGGTTGAGAAAAATCCATGTCGGGATGATTGTTGAGTATATCCACATTTTGAACTACCTTGCAAAACTGACTGCAGGTGCATAACTGCCGATAGAAGATGAATAGTCATGGATGGATGAGTCCAATCGTGTGAGAGTTTTTATTTATTTTTACTTTTATTTTGACATACTTTACCATACTTATAGAAATTTCAGAGAAATCCCCAAATGGACATTCAGGTTTCTGTGATGTACGGGAACAGTCGCTCAAATTTTTACGCAAGGACGCAAAAAGCGATGAGCACGCATTTTTATTGCTTCAAAACCGAATTTCATATCAACAGCCTTGACGCAGGAACATTCATTTCAATTACTTCTACAATAAATTCTTCGGTAATTTAATGACTGGATAAATCATCCTCTTCGACTTTTACCTCTGCTTGCAAGCAATTATTCCATCTATTCGAAAGATCGACCCCCTTAGAAACAGAGTTTATGTCATCTGAAAGTCGGCCCGTGCGAATCCAATCAACCCATCTTCACCCAAGACGCATACCCGACGTTGCCATCAGCCACAGGGAACAGCATGTAATACCCGCCAGGTGCAACTGCTGCGTTGGGAGGCGCTTTCGAGGCCACGTCGTAGGCGCCCGCCCCGGCTGCAGCAGGGGCGCTGACTTCCAATTGCAGCAGCCGTTGTCCTTGAGCGTAAGAATGTGTCACAAACGGTGCACTCACCATGTTTAATTCGATGTTCTTAGCGCCGGCAGATTTCACTGTGGCGGTGAATCCACCCCCGTACTTCAAACCTCCAGGGACGGCGGCGTAAGTGGGACGATTAGCCCCCATGTACGGTGGGGAGAACGTTTCGATTCTGAGCTCGGTGGGAAGATATCCTGTCAACGTGTAGAACTGATGCGTGTTGCTGCCCGCAACCAAGATGCGCCCATCTGGAAGCAAATTGGCAGTGGAGTGGTACACACGTGGAATCGGGGACCCAGTCAACGTCTGCATGCGAGCGCCCGCGGCATTGTAAGGCTTGTACAAGACGGGGGTCTTTACGGGGTCCACGGCGTTCCCCCATCCTTGAGCGCCGCCACCCGCGCCGTTAATGATCAGAACATCCCGAGTGGGAAGCAGGATCATGTCGCCCATGAGCCTCGGCATGGGCATATTCTCCATGGCCCATCCGGCGCCGGCTGCGAGCGGTGCTATGCGGCCGCATGTCTGGGATGCGGTTTGTCCCGCGGGATTCATGTAGGCACCGTATGCGGCTCCTCCACAGACGAGGACTTCGACATTGCCGTAGTCAGCGTTCGCGGACAAGGGAAGCAACACTGAGCTTCCAGCTGACGGATAGTTGCGGGGCTCTCCGGGAATGGTGGGATAATCGCGCACCACCTTGTTGGTTTGCCAGTCGTAGAGGATGGAGTCGCGGTTTGCAAAGATGTAGAGCTGGTTGTTCGGCAATAAGTGCACGAATGGGTAGAGGTTGTCCATCTGAGCATCGTTACTCTTGTAGAGGAGTGGAACGTCGTAGGTACCTCGGCCATTGGCAGGGACATACTCCACAGTGCCGACACCTCGACCTCCCACGACGATTTGAGTCCCGTCAGGAAGAATCTGGTTGGACGCGTACCATCGCCCTTGCTGCAATCCTCCATCGAGCTCCACCCAGTCGCAACCACCGCCCCCGCAGGGCGAGAAGTTACGAATCTGCTCATTCATTTCGCATCAGTCAGATTTTATCCAATTACCGTCTTGCTAATGCTGAGCCCAGCTCAGAACCCAACTTATCAACCATATTCGCGACTTTTTCCATGTAGTGTGATTCTGTGAATTGGTTTGCAGTACCACATTCTGAAATTCTGAAATGATTATAAAATCCTAAAATTAAATAGTTAAGATATGATCCAGGACGATAGGGTTACCTTCATCAATCCATCAGCATCCCCTCCTGTTTGCACTAGCTTTCCGCTGCCATCGAATTGGCCAGACGAGCACCACGTATCAGTGTACACGAACAATGGCCGAATATCGTTGGAGCCCGGTGTGAAGAGAGCAGAGTGAGCGGTACAATCATGGGTCGAAGCCTGAAATCACAATCAAAATAAAGCAATTGTCATGAAGAATTAGCTTCGAATACCAATGAAATTCACTGAAATCTAACTTTCTATCTCTCTCTCTCTCTCTCTCTCTCTCTCTCTCCCTCTCTCTCATCCTCACTTTGGTCATTTCCCGGAGTGCACGCCATTAGCTTCCGATTTGCATTCAATTTTTGATTTGGGACTTGACAGTGAATCTAGCTGCATCGTCACCAGATGAAGATTATTGAACCAATAATGTGATGATCTAAATTGAATTTAGATGTGATAGTGTCATGTACCCGATCCTGGGGGTTGTCACGGCACACACCAGGAGCTAAGTTCAGCTGGGAGGGGCCAACATTGGTCCGATCCAGTAAAACCACGTTGCCGTAATGCGTCACAGCTGCGTGCATGGTTGCAATTCCGGCGTTGTTAACCACCGTTTCCCAGTAGCCTTGCGCTTCCACCATCGAGACGGCTCCGCACCATGCCCCCAGGATGAGCAGCCCCCAGAGCAGCAACTTGTCACCCTGCTCCATCTCTACCCCTCTGCTCGTGCACTTCCTCTGTCCCGTCCTATCCCACAGTCCGATCTCTCAGGTTCAGACCTGCCAATTGTCTTCTAAGTACAAGACGTTGGATTTAGCTGGAAATTGGAGCCTGGTGATGTATCTGAGATGCAACCGCGTGCCTCATATATGAAATGTTTGGCAGTATGGGTGTAGTTCGGTGGATGACAAGGGGAATGATAATGAGGCCACACCAGCCAACGCGAGTACCAACCATAGGATGAGTTCATTGGGTAGGACCATGTAGGCGAGGTCTGATCCAAACTCCGTGGCGATCGTGATGGATCAGCTTTTGTTCGACTGAGCAACTGATAGCCAGGCCCCCACCCCACACTGACGAGGTTCGTCTCGCCTCACCGAAGGTCATCTCATCAATTACAGCTGTCCTGCAGATTCGGTGTTAGTTCTCACCACTCTCTTCCTCTTCCTACTCTTGCTTGCTGTCACTGGATCTTTTGTCAGCAATCACACTGCAGTAGAATTGCCAATTCGCAATATTTTGCAACCAAATTTGTGATTTCCATAAACTGCAATCGACGGATTCAAAAGTGTTTTTGAACAATCCTGAACGGATGGGGTAGGGAGCAGAAAAACATTAGTGCCATTTTATGAGAAAAGCTCATCATCTGATTGTATTCGGTGATGCAAACTCACATCCATCTCTCTCATTGGGGAAAATGGTCTGGAACTTCTGTTTGGCGTTATTTACACACCTAGTGCAGCCTGATTTTCGATCAAGTCTGCTTGAGTAGCAAAAAGCTACGTCTTGAGCTGTTTGCATACCGCATTTTTTTGGTTTGTTTGTTTGTTTGTTTGTTTGTTTGTTTTTCTTTATATTTTTCTGTTTTTTTTGGTGGTGTACAAAATCATTGCATGGACAACGTAAGCTTCTAGAAGGTGATACTGTCCTCATCACCATGACTCCAAAATCCTTTTCAGTGATGTATCAGGGTGATCGTAACAAAAATATAAAACCTCCTCCAAATCGCAACGTAAAGAACGCTAAGACTGTTTCGATGTCACAAGATTAAAGAGAGTCTATCTAAACACATTGCTGCAGCTGCAAAACGATAAAGAATGGATGCCATTTCTCGTACACTCAATATTACAAAAGCTTGAATCTTTTAAGTATCGAACTTTTGCTAACGGTCAGATAGGAATTCCCTAAAACCCGGTCACAATTGGGATTGACATACTTTAGTCATCAGAGGTTTTAGTTATATCACTTGGTTCGACCAAATTCTGCTTCGAATGCAGACACACACGCTGTTTGTCATTATCCTCTCGTGGCCATGGCTGGAAGCTACTCCGCATAGTGATGTATCTCCAACCACTCGAAACTTGTCCCCTTTTATTGGAGATCATAGACTTTGAACACTCGTTGATTGGTCCATGTCATAAATATTTGAGGAACTCCTCAGGGGATGAATTACTTAAGAAATCCAATGATGCTGTGTGTGTGTGGACTTAACAGCCATCATTGTTGGCTGTTGCAACACGTTGTCAAAATGGATTCTCTTGAAGCTCAACTTAGCTTTTGGAGGTTTTCAGCATCGTTTTGCATACTTGCATTGTGGATGTAGTCATTGTTCAATTTAGCACCTGATAAATGCTTGCCAACTCCTGCGTTTTTTCTTTTCAATCGATGACTCTTCAGCAATCTATCCTGAACTAGTGCAGGTTGGCTTGTTTGGTGCCAAGGGAGAGAAGATTTCTCTAAACCCCAACAAGGGTTTGAGTTTCAACTTTTGCTTGGTATCAGACACTGAAACCGACTTTCACAGAACTCTGCTTGTTGAAAAAGTTGGTGATGTCCATGTTGTTAGAGCAGCTTTGGAACTGCCTAACTTGGAGATAAAGCTGGCCTCCAAAGTATGTGGCAAAAGAAGTAAAGGGCCAATGTATGGCAGGCAATCAGTCTGAGCTTGACAGAGCTCTTCCTTGTGTTGATTGCCAGTGAGAAACCAATCATTCTCTTTTATTGGAATTGAGCCTCTCTCCAAGTCTCCTACTGCATTGGGGGCTGGTATAGCAGCTTTTTTGAGGTAATAATAGCCCACTTCATTCCCATGGAACATACCTTCCCAGCATCCTTGCCTTGTCTAAAATGTAAAGTCCTAAAATCACCTTCAAAAATAGATTAAATAAAAGTGGTCACCAGATTTGGATTTAAGATTTTGGTTGTATTGGATTCCTTTGGATACATTGAGTGTAGACCAGCTCCATGCATTGAAAACTTATTGGAGGTGGCTTATAGATATAAGTCAACTTTGGCTCAGTGCATCAAAACCCCTGAGAACTTTGTTGGCCAGCAAGATGGCATGAGAGCCCAGGTCTAATGCTAAACCCTAAAGCTCTCTCTACAACATGGATGGTTGGATGTACACAAACATAATCAACTATCCAAAGAGATTTGAAACCCAAGAGCTAGACCTAATCTGAGTAATGGATACTCTTTGTTTATTGCAACATTTATATGCAAAGAAATGAAGTAAATAAAATATATTGCAAAACGACTCCAAAAATATTGCCGAGAGGGGGAAAGGGGGAGATCTAAGCACATCAAAGTTTCAGTCAATGATGGTGTTTGGCAATTTCACCAGTTAAAATTAAATAAGAGAAGCTCCCTCACATACTCCACTCCCTTCCATGCCTTTGTAGGAGGACACAGCTGCAATGAAGGCAAGAGGGAGAGAGAGTGTGTGTAAAGCCACAAAGAAGACTACAGTTAGAAAATGAAGTCCAGGTGCCATTTTATTTCTTTCACCCCAAGAAAAGAAGGAACCTTGGAGATAAAGAAGATATTGACCAAAATGGAGGACCTTTATTTATTTATTTGTGTGTGTTTGTTTAATTCTTCATTGTTTATTTCCTATTTCGAACTTGTCCTAATTGTAATAAGATCATAAAAAGGATGAAGTTTTGACCTTATAAACCACTTTACAGACACTTCTTGATTCATCTACAAAATGCATGTGAACTCCATTTAATATTCTCTCATTTTAAAGAATTTTTTTATGAATACAAAAATAATCTTCTAATGACTAAATGTATGTGCTGGTTTGGCTATATCTTAAGATAAAAACCTGAGAGTGACCACAATAGATGAACTCTAAACACTAATCAACATGGATAACCAGGAGGCAATGTCAAATTATGTATACTAAAGTGGGGTTGCAACATGGCAAAGACTATTGATAGAAAACTATTGAGACAAAGACTTTTAATGATTCAAATTCAAATCAAAGGATGGCATCAGGTACTTCAACCAACCATGGAAATGAAGTGGACCATATTGTAGCACAAAACTTGAACAAAAAAGAGAAGCAACTTTGATATGGTTGGCCTGGCAAAGAAGAACTACAGTTAATACACACAGGAAAAAAATTAAACAACACTATTAGTGATGCATGCTCCTTCTATACACTATACACCCCAAAAAAACAATTCTTCATAGAATTTAGAAATGCCCAACTATTCAAGTAGCTTGGAGTTGGAGTACAATTAAAATAGTTGGGGTTTTCTATACTATCTTATTAAAGAAGTTAAGATGGAGACACCTGTAAAAATAGAACAACACACCACCTCTTAAAGTACCTACACAACCTGTAAGACCCTAAAAAAAAGGCACACACTTTTCGTAATTGGGTTTATATAATTATGAGCCAAGGAAAAAACCCTCTCATGTTTTTTAAAAATACATATATATATATATATAAAAATACAAATAGTTGATTATCTAGATGGAAAAATGTATTTTATCCTTGTAAATTATTGTTTATGTATGTGTGTACATCTCTAAGTTGGGCAGTTTCAAAGCTGCTCTGACAACATGGACATCACCAACTTTGTCTCTGAGTAGAATTCTATGAAAGTTGGTTTGAGTGTCTGATACCAAGCAAAAGTTGATTTTCAAATTCTTATTGAGATTTAGAGCAATCAGGTCACCCTTTGCACCAAACAAATCAACCTCCACTATTCCAGGATAAATTGTTGAAGAATCATCAACTAAAAAGGAAATGCAAGAGTTGGCAAGCATTTATCAGGTGCTAAGCTAAACCATGACTACATCCATATTGCAAGTATGCAAAACAATATGAAAACAATATAACCTTCTATTTTTACTATCAAACCAACCTACATGTTCCACTTACACATATTTCTTTGTTTTATTAATGGACTTCAATTATCACTTACTTGTTTAATTATAATATGTTTAAAAATCCTACAAAAAAACACTAATTGTTTAAAATTAATGGTTTACAAATAAATGATAGACTCTCTCATATTATATATAAGTGGATATGCAAAATAAGGTGATAGCATGCAATATCTATCAAGATTTATTTTTAATTAAATATTCTTGTATTTCTAATGATGTAACAAACATATAAATCTAAGTTACTGTGAATAAGTTATAAAGGTTTAAAATTAAGAAGTAAAATATAGAAAATTTAGGTGAATATGTACTCCATCAAAAACAACTTGCTTAAGAGGTTAAGGCTTTGAGCATCACAAAGGTCACAATTAATAGATTTTGGTGTCTTGAAGAGAACACAAGATGTTATTCTTATACTTATACATAGGTCCAAGGTCCTACAACCTATATGAGACATGTGTACCTCCTTTTCTACAACTACTATACTATCTATTGGTCCTTCTATTTTTTTTACTTGTAAAACCATTATTATTATTATTATTATTATTATTATTTTTAAATACACCATTGTGTTTAAAAACATCCAATTAATCTTGGAGCTTAGTAGGGCCTTTAAATCTTTATGATGGCTTCCCAAGGTGGTAAAATCAATTTTACCAAAATTTTAAAAATATGCTTTAAAAATCCCTAAAAGATTCTAAATAAAATCTAAAAATTCCTATGTTATTTTAATAAATAATATTTTATTTTAAGATACTATATTTTATTTTAAGATACTATATTTTATTATTTTGATATTTTATAATAATGGAATCAATTTAAATTAATTAAAATCTTATTTTATATGTAAATAACTATATATTATTGAGATTCTTTTTTATACTTTTTCCATCTATTAGCTAACATTTATAAGTTTTGAATGATTAATACATGTAGATAGAGGTCTAATGTAGATATTAGTCTCAATAATTAAACACTTATTCTCACCATTACAAGAAAATATTAAACCAACTAAAACAAT